GGGGGCGCGCCCAAGCTTTATTCCAAAATTTGACTACGGGGGTAATGTAGCCATTTGCTACTCCCTGAATGTTTGATTGAAAACTAAGACACAGACTTGATCCAGCCGTGTAGCTAGGATTTTCTCGCTTGTGCTCAACGTCTGTTTTTCTTCTCCGGTCCCGGCCCGGTTATATTACAGTATGAGGTTATGAAGACACTACGGTCAATTTGCAAATATTTTGCAATCCAGTATGCAATGCTTTTATCGTCTAAATATTTCAATTTTGCCGTCCTAATCTTCGCTCTAATTTTTGTTCTGCAACCCCCGTCGGTTACGCCATACTGCGGATTGCCTTGTCAAAGGTCAGAGTTGGTGGCGCTCATATGTTATTCAAGGAAACCAACATTATGTACAGGTACACAATTACTCTCGCAAGCATATTACTTAATACGAGTTTCATGCTTGACTCCTCAGTAACATTTCATTAGGTTTGTCATGTATCTATTTCTGTCTGAGTACAACCAATTGCCTCGCCATCTGTCGCGATGGAGAGGCATGTGACAAGGAGATAAGACTAGCATTTCACTTTTAAATATAATTGCATGAAACGATAAAAAACCTGATGCTATAAAAAAGTCCTTAAGAACATACATATTCTCTACACAAATGCGATGTCAGTATTTGGGAGTACAGAAGCAGGCTTGCCAAAACGTTAATTAAAACCGTGGATAGAGATGAATTAGTAACGAGTTGATTATCGAGTAAAGTAATATGCATTAATATTATTTTAAATATATCTCAGTTCAATTTACTCACCGCAAGAAAGTCAATGATAGCATAGGTATTAAACATGCAGCTTTAAGATATGTTATGTTTTCTGAATAGGTTCTAAAATTAGCGTGCATTTTAGAAGCTGCTCCGAATACTTCATGCAATGAAACTCAAATAACATTCCTCTGGATGAGGCCAAGCCTTTCAATTATTTTTTTCTACCCAACCCAACCCAAAGGCATTTTTTATAGGAGGGCAAACAGTGGAAAGTATGTCCCTTTTATGCGCGCGCATGATGTCCGCTCCGCATAACCCTGGTAAGGGCAAATTCAAAATGCACAGACACGTGACGTCGACGAATGTCAGGTAGGGGGTTTATGGCGTGAAGAGCTACAAACTGAAGTTCTACGCGTGGCACTGATGCTCAAGGATTGAACTGTTTTCCCTTTGTTTGGTGACTAAACCTGATCATGGAGTTCTCACAGTCAAGATTCAAGGCCGGAGCTGAAGATTTTAGATATGGGAAGAATAATGTATGACTTCAACCACGTTGCAACATGCAGTATTAAGACAAATTTTGAACACGTGAAGTAGTAATGTGACCGAGGTGCCATTGTTCAAGAAATGATGGAGTAATGCAAACACAAAACAAGTTACAGACCCGAACAACCTTCAAAAATCAACTGCATGCACATTATTTAAGAATATCCTAAATAAACAATACACGGGCTTGGAATTGTGTGAATAAGAGAAGCATATCATTATGAATCGATTGTCAAGATGTCCGCTTCTATTGCACCCCGTGCGAGGGAGCTCTCGCTTTCTTTCACCTTTCACCCACTATGCAGTGCATCTTCAGTGAGCTAAGAACATGACAGGCCAAAGTGCCTTGTTTTCACGGCTTAACACTTGGTTTTAGACACTTCATCGAAGACATTTTTAGCGCAACATGGCCGATGTCTGTAGGAAGAAGAAACGGACAGCCGAGATCGAACGACTTTCCGAGGAGGTAGACACCTCTAACTTCTCCACACCCAAACTTATGGAGCTCGATGCTATGTGAGGAGAATATTTTGCAGAGCAATTTCACCCTCAAAGTAACGTTAAGACAAGAAACAACCATCAGAAACGTTCCTGAAGTCAACTGGCTGGAAACATCGATCTTTCTTTCTTTCTTTTAGAGGAACTCCCGAGGAAGTTGGTGTCTATATGCGCAAAAAATGATTCCCGCTACAAAACCTCCCTTTCTCGCAGAGGTGCGTTCCGGAGTCTTGGAAGACTGAATGCCCTCCATTATCTAAATGAGTTGGCATACGGAAAGGAGTTCAATCAAACATTAAACACTGGAATAAGTGAATATCAACGCGTGAAAAAAAATTTCCTGTGAATCAGGCATGCTGTAATCCCTTTTCCAACTGACACTAACTAAATAGTATGGGGAAAACTGTTGTCGGAAGTCATTTTTTTCAGAACCCATGATGTCCCCGTATCCCCTACGAGAGTACACATTTCCTGAGAGCTAGCTAGATCCCAACCAATGAAAATGTTCCCTGTTCCCAAAAATCATGACCTAAAATGGTTACAAAAGTCGAATTATTCAATATTGTAATTATTTTCTTTCATTCCTTGTTATCATTTTACTGTAACCGTGGACGCCTGCTGCAGGCCGTGTATACATTATGAGTGCTCATCGAAAGTAATCTTCGCTATGCCTAATGATGATGTTCGTCGCGTATAGCCTAGTTTTCTCACATGGCATAACATGCACAGTCTGGTGCCGAAGTGAGTGACACCTATCAGCACGGATAAATTACCCGGCATATGGTGGTCGGCCCCATTTTGGTCCGTTACAGGGTATGACCTAATAAAGTTGATACTTTGGATTACACAAAAATATTTACAATCCACCTTATCATCGGCCGTTTATACAGTAAACAAAAATAAATCATGAACAAGTAGTACCACTTACAAAAGTGTCGTTATTTATGAGACGCCTCAGGTAACAATGAACATGACCGGCATTATTATAATGAATCTAGGAATAAAATTTGTAACAAGAGTTGAAAGAACAGATGACAGAAATTTTATATTGATGACAGGCGCGAGGAGCCTTCAACTTTAATACGGCCTGGTATCGAATTGCCTTTTGTTGTGACAGCCCACGCCCCATTAGACACAGTCTACGAACGCCATGGCAACTCCCTGGAGTCGGGTCCACCGATCCAGACGTGTTTCCAATAACGCCACACGCACGATTGACTGAATTTATGCATGGTCAATGGTGTTCCAAGCTCCATGCTTCTCCGCAGTGTAACCACACGTTTACGTTACATAGGCCTACATACTGTGGACATTCCTTTGTTTTCGTGCAGTTAAGAAAACTCAGTGAAAATAATCATTTTTGGCTGTTTTTTTTTTACAAGGTTTCCTTGACTATTCTTCTTCCTTTTACCACAGATGACTTCTACCCCAGAATACCTCTAAACCCCTTTTCCAGAGAAGGGAAACCTTGTGTGGACATGCGCAAGTCCACACAACGCCAAAGTACCCTGCATTATGTGGACTTCTTTTGTGCAGGTCTACACTATGTATGACACGCCTGTACACGGACAATGACTGTCGAACTGGGAATTAATCGGGCCCCTCTTCTAACGGTGCTACTACAGCAATTATACGAGTCGAGAGAATACACCATCACTGAGTCTTAGGCCCCCAACACAGACAAGTCTCGCCAACCTCAAGTCAAATTTCGTTCAACCATTTTGCATTTTCCAACTTTGCATGTCATACAAAGAATCTACTGGGGTGAGAATTTGTATAAAAATGTTGGGGTTTGTGTCTCGTGGCCAATTCCTATCATGCAATTTACCGCTTATGATTTGCCAAAAGCCGCTGCTTATAAACTGTTGTACATCGGAGACTGGCCGCGATAATCAGAGCAATAAGTTGCATTTATTCCCGTGAATCAAAGTTAAATTGCCTGACAAATTAATGGTATTGGGTGTCTTTCAACACTTTTGCTCTTTGATAAAACCATGGCTCTTCTTATTGTGTTATTCAGACGAATTATGTGTCAGTGGTGTGATTTTCAATTCAGATTTCCCCTTCACGGACTCGATTCAAACCCCCGGTGCACTCAGTGCCTTTCAAAGAACTGGAGTATCATTAAAAGAAAAGCTACATGTTCTTTTCTGTATTCCTCTCCCAAGATTTGTCAGAAGAAAATAATTTTCATGCGGTGACTTCTGCAGCACTGATACATTGATATTCTCCAAATGTTCTGCCGGGCCATTTCTTGAGCTCTCCATCCAGCAACCACCGTCTGACTCAGAGCGTTGAGTGACGGGACAAACGAAGGCAGGCTCCAAGGTAAGCCTGGCCTGCCTCGTGACAATTACTCTGATGGCTGGCTGGTGAAACAAGACCCTCGGGCCAATTAGGCTAAGGTGCTAAGCAGAGAAGAAGTGCTGCTTAACAGAATATCCAAAGCTGTCTTACAAAGTGTGAGATGAGGGGGGATGAGGGATAATACACGAAATATCTAGCAGAGGAGATGTTTCGACAACAGAACACTGTGAAGAGGCGGGGCTCAGTGTAATTTGGCACAAATTTTAGGTACAAACTACAAAAATGAGCAAAACATAAATGATTGATCTTTCAGAAATCCAGAATTTGTGGGCTAAAAAATCCTGAAATCCAGAAAAATATTGAGACATCGCACCCCTGCTTATCGTGAAAACATCCATTCCTCATTCAGAAAATGGAAAGAAAACAAATGAACACGAGACAGAATCAGGAAAATCCTAGCTGAGAACCAGTCAAAGTTGATACATGCATCACAGGACAAATTTGGTTGGTAACCGTTTAATGCTAAGCATGAAGGACTTTTTGGTGCAAAGCATAATTTTTGCTATTACCAACTTCAAGAAATTGGAAAGTGTTCTGCCAGCCCTCGTCACTGATATCTGAAACTGGGACATGCAGGGGCTTCCGTTACTGCACAATGACACCAGACTAAAGTGAACCATTAGATGGATATTAAATAGAATCTCTCGGGGGCGTAGGATACCAATTACTCGGTACTCCATGTTCAAAGCATCTCTACCTATTCCATCAGGTGTACGTAATAGTAACAAAATATGATAAACAATGTAACAAATTTTGTGGGAAAAAGCACTGTGAAATTGAAGGTATTTTTATGGGAGGGCTATGAAGTTGTAACAAATGCATGTGGCTGGCACAAGAGGTGCTTGTTTTGGTTTATGCTTGTTTATTAACAGAGTCGATTTCGTAGACAAATTTGTTCATAATGGGATCAATTATCACTTTTACAAAGAGAACTAATTCTCTAACATTTCCTGTGCTCTTCCTTTTCAAGTCTTTTCAGATTCTTTGTGACACTTTTCTCTTGACAACAAAATGAGTAAAAAATAAAATAAATGCATTCAGAGAGAAAATAATATTTCATTGAAGGAATTCTGCTTGACAGCCCAAACAAAACAACACATTCTTCATTAGTTGCTGAAAATTATGTTCCATCAGAGTTACAGTTGAATCTTATCTCAAGTCTGGCTATAACCTTTAAGTACACCGTCAATCCACAGGATGGGTTACTAAGCAAATGAATGCATGGCTCGTTTGAATAGTTCATGGCTTGGGACTGGATGACTTGTGATTGGTTCATGATCAATTTGTGACGGATGAGCTTACAGTACTGCATTCTAAGATGTTCAGGAGAGCAAATCATCCTCAAGTTATCTCATCGTGACGATAAAGAGATGAGGAGATAAAGTGAAAATCGGGACGCTATTTCTGCCTAAACTATATAGTAATATAAACTTATCACTGACACCTTATTTGTTACACACTTAAAAAGTGTAGTCTTAGTCAATTTCAATTAGATCGAAAGTTCAATGCTTGGATGCGGGGAAGAGGAGCCGTAGAGTGGAGTCCAACCTTAGAGCAGGTCCTGGATGCGGACTGTCTTGCGCACGGCGTTGGTGAACCCCTGGTTGAATTTATACCAGACTTTGCCTGAGAGCTGCTCCTGCTGCTCCCGTCTGGCCTCGGCCTTGCTGCTCTGACTTGACCCAGGCTCGTTGCTGGCACTGCTGCTGTCCGTTGCATCAGCTGTCCGTGTGACCAAATGAAACACGACTATCGGGTCACTTGTAGGACATCCCCAAATTGAGCAAATATGCGCTAAGTTCAGTGAATGATCTAGTTTCTTTTTATTCTTTTCGGTGTTTCGTTTTGCCTTCTCCGCTACGCTCTACTGTGGATCTTAATGACTCTAAAGGTTGGATAAGAATTTGATGATGTTCAAATGAGGCCACTCTTTAAGCACTTGTGTTTGAAGATCAGTTTTTCAATAATTCTGGACATTCAACCCCTTCAAAACAAAGATGACTAGTTACTCAGGCAAGGCAACAAGTCTTACATTAGACCGTAAAATGTCGACGCAAGTACGCCAGTATTCAAAGGAAAAGTTTGCATTGAAGGATTTGACAATATTGCAGAAATCACTCTCACCTGACTTGGGCTCTGGGGTTTTCTTCTTGATAATCCGACCAAAGAAATCTCTGGTGGGCTGTAAATGAAGAAAATTTGAAGCATGATTACAAAAATGATAAATACTTAACAAAATGCAACCCAAAATACACGGAAAGTTTTTGAGAATATTTCAAGCGACGTTTTCTTTCACCTTTTCTGGTTCGTCCTGGACTTTTTTGGGCTGTAGCTTCTCCAAGTGTCGCGGGACCTTTGTTGAGGCTGCCCCTTCGTCTCTCTTGGCTGACGTAGGTTTAGTCCTCTTCTTGGTATCACTTTGAGAAATTTGGAACAAAATAACAGGGGTTGATGCGCTTCATCCAACACAAAGTAAAACCCTACTTACAGGTACTGGAATAGTTTGAAAACTCTTCAGTGTGACTTCAAGGCCAGACAATTACCCGATAAACTTGGATGCGTTAAGCTGTTTGATTTTCATTCCCGTCAGCAAATTGGACAAAAAAAATCAAATTTGTAATTTAGATTTAAGAAAAACTGGTGTTTTTGGAAGAGTCTTCGGCCATTTTTTCAAATGCATGATAATGCATTTTATTTTTTGGTTTTCATTTTCAGAAATTTTCTCACTTTAGTGCGTACACTACCAAAACATTGAATGCTCAACTATTTATTCTACCCGCCATTTCACCCCCAAGGGGATTTTTTGATGATGCGACGTTGAATTTTCTGTTCACCAGACATAACGGACTAAACTGATTTTGTTAAATATTGGCATTTTAGAGTATCTAAGTGAATATATAACATGCACAATTGTACGCGTAAAGACAGCGCTTGAGCCAACACTCGCCAGTACTACATTTGTTTTCATTACACTTCCTGGTTCAAATGATGTCACACGCCAGTACACTAGAGCAGAAGTTGGTTTAGGACTGACACCCACCACATGAAGGAAATCACTCCCACTCACCCAGTTTTACTTCCAATAGTGGCTTCACTGCGTCGCATTTTCTCCAAAGCAATCTACCGAGAAAGCAACAACTGATTATTTGCTTTTTTGTCGGCAAACCTCTCACCCTATATCTAAAAAGAAAAGTGTACGGAGGGTAAGCTTTGGAGAGGGCCATACAGAGGGTGACATTTTGATTTATTTGGTGTGACTGCTCTGTGGCTAAACATGGTTGAAGTCAAATACCAAAGGGGAGTTTACAACATAAACCTACCTCTCTAGCAATAAGCTGCTTCGCCGCATACGTCATCTGCTTGGTGGGAGGGGTATTGCTGAACCTCGCAACGGAATCAAGATTTCTGCCAGACAAAAAACCCGCATAAATATCAACTGGCCAGTGCATCTGCTTGCTGGGGACAATGACCCTAAATTGAAAATCCCCTTCAAAACATTTAACAGAGTCTTCTTGAGGGGACAGTACTGTACAGCTAGCTATAAGAGTAAAAAAAAATGATTTGTGGCAAGAAAGTTGTAATTTTTAATTTCGATTAAAATATTCAATTCATATGTAAAATCAGTGTTAAAAGCTTCATCTGTAAACTTTAGAAAAAAACTAAACAAAGATACCTGAGAACAACTGCAATATTCATTCCTACATTCTTTTGTTTCAAAGTGGTCCACTGTGTTATATACTGCATACATACGGGTCAAGGACGTAATTATACTGCCCTTCGGTGCTGCGTTCCTGGTTGTAGGTGAGGTTGTAGGCAATCATGGTGTTGATTACTTCCTTCAGCTGTTGCTTCTCTTGGGCATTGAATAACTGAGTGTTCACCTAAAAAGGGGGGAAAATTCAGGTGGTGTAGGGTCCGGATACAGGCAGTGGACATGTGCTTGTGTCCATGAGCAAGAAGTTTTACCAGATGTGAACAGGGTTAGTAGATGCAAAAGTACATTGATTCATTTTTTTCCCAAAGAAACCTCCTAGGAATTTTAGAATTACTGAGTTGATTGAACAACCCTTACTCTCAACTTTCCAAGGACTAAAGTTGCTTCCCTGTTGGGCCCCTTGATTAATTTGGTTTTCAGCCCTTTCTTGAACACACAGGGTTTTCTCAAGTTTTCCCCAACCCTTAAAACGCTGAAAGTTACTTCGTTTCTCTAACTTCAAGGGTTCCAGCCAGCAAAGTTTAAAGAACAGCCACAGCTTGCGCCGCCTGCACAAATTTGAAGACATCTACTTCTTCATTCAGCACTAGCGCTTAGTGCTGCAAGTAGGTGTCAAGGTTCGGTTCGGCGGTTCGGCTGCAGCACTACTGGTGCTCTTTCTACTGAACTGCCTGGGATTACGGTCAATTTTGTAAATGCCCAGCACAGGATGACAACGGCAACTGACATTTGAAACACTGCACTTCAAAGTTACGATCGCAAGCAGAAGAATGGTGCAGCAAAGGCCAGGCCAACCAATTAGTATTCATGAAGACAGTACATCACAGCATTACTTTTCATCCAGACTTGCAAACACTCCACATCACTCACGATCTTGAAGAGGGAGCCAGTTTGTTGTTTGTGTGCGAGTCTGCATAGGGCCGCACTGATAGGGCAGACCTTGAACGTGCATCTGAAAAATCTCGGGTGCGCTTCGAATTGACCCACTGGGCAGTGGCATGGTCAACTCACCGGCCTGAACGTTGGCTGGAGTATGATGAGAAGCAGGGGCAGGATCTGAGTGACTGCCATGCGTGGGTCCAAGAAGCAAGCCGTGCTGGGACACACCTCGGACAGGATGGTAGTCAGCAAGTTCTGGGTCCTGGTCTGCTTGACTGAATTCTGTGTAAGGAAGAAAACCCGCTAGGGAGCTGGAAGCATTTTGCCTAATACCAGTGTCGTAGTTGAGTTTATCACAGGTCCCTGCAAGTACACCTTAAGCTATCCAGTTTTTGGTCAAGTCACAAGCTATTCGGAAAAACTGTGACAAAAGCATTCCTTTGTCACTTCAACCCAGTTACTTGTATTTATTTATTTCAAACAAACTTTAGGGTTGTGAAAAAGACATCAAAGTCCAATATATATAAGATTCACTCCCCGGGTAAGAATAAAAACAATAAGAAAACAAATTTATAACAATATATGGGATGAAAATATATAGGATAAAAGACTGTGAACAATAGCATAAATTGGAGTATAACTGGTTTTTGAGAGGACTCGAGATGGACTCGACTACAACACTGCCTGATACAAGACTCAAGTTGGAATAAACGATGAGTTACACTTGGATTGAGGCCAACCCAACTTAACTAGTACTTGTTTGAATCGGATTTTCCGCACTTCATTGTCACTTGATTGAATAATGTAAATTTCCAAGGCTTAGTGAAATGCTGTCAGTCTGTTCCAAGAAATTGTGCTGAGAAAACTTCCTCCAGATTCTCCTCTTTGAGCTGGCTCCTTTATGGACTTCCTAACAGTCCTGATCTTCCATTGTTCAGGATTGTTAAGGTTAAAACAATCAACATTTTGCCAAGCTTCAACTAATACAAACAAATGTAAAAAAAAATGGTTTTCTTTGATCCAATTTTATCCTCTTCCTTCAGCCATCGTCTTCATCGACTTCTTGCATCCGACTTCAAAGAGTACCAAAATGTAACATCATTTTGACCAGTGTAGTGTAAATGAATGGAGTACATGTGCATTGGTTTGTGTTCCAATTCTTGCACTGGTGTGACTCTTACAAATATAATTGTGCATGTGACGTAATCACTTCAGTCCTCTATGTAGTCAGAGTTATGCCAAAAAGGTTCAGATAGGAGCTGCAGGTTACCCCCCCCCAAATCAGAACTTACCTCATATGCTGCATTTGGGTACTTAAGGCGGGGCTGCGAGGATGATGCAAACAAAAGATGAAACACGACTGGCACGTAGCCAAGATACCGATAGAAGGTGTAGTTCTGACTGCGTGCGACGACGCTCCCAAGGCGATCGTAGAAGACCAACCAATCCGATGCCAGATTCAGCTACAAGTGTGAAAAACAACGTGCCCATATTTACCACTTCAGAAAAGTAGCATTCACTTTTGGCCCATCAATGAAAAACCTTCCTCAAAGCTTTTCAGCACTAGAAGAGGTAACTGGTCAATTTTTTGACAACACATGAGGAAAAAACACTGCAAACAAATTGATCTGACTTTTGGCACAGCTTCTGAGCTACTGCACTGATTCTTCAAGGCAGATTACCAAATGGGCAATGGGCCAAAACATATTTCCCACTTGAGAATCAAGGGTTAACATTGTAAAGTGATTACTGGCACACTAGCCAGAAATTACTGGGCACGCTTGCCATTACAGGGCAGGCTTGGCTGAAAATCCTTGGCACACTTGCCACAAAAGTTGAACACACTTGCCCCAAAAATCTCCTGGTGTGCTTCTCACACACTACAAGAGTATGCACTCCAACATTTGTAAAATACACTTGGAATGTCAATGGGTCCTAAACGAAGTTTTTACAGATCATAACTCGGCAGCTAATACTTAGTAAAATGATCAAGGTATCAGTTACAAGTATTCTAAACATCACTATCTTAGCTCCATCAGTGGCAAATGCAGGTGGAATACATACAGGCCCCATATTTAATAGTGAATGCTACGCCTAGTGTGATATGTGATAAACCTAAAACTTAAATGGTAGCATTTATTTCCTGATCCAAATTCTGAAGTCCCACTTTGAACTACAAATATATTCATTTCTGTGGGCAGGAATTACTTGTCACTTCCCTGCAAATCCCAAATACGTGGGGAAACTTTTGATCTTCCAATTACAGAAGGAGAGGAGGCAGTGCACTCAATATCACTGTGAATCTGTTACGGGCCACCGACTCGAGGAAACTTAAATTTTGTTCTTCAAGTAATTTAAATTGAGCATTCAATTTCACACGATTAGAAAAGAGAAAAAGTATTTTTACTCACTGCCTCAAGTCTTGGGTCCTTGAATTTCATCTCCAAATAGTTCTCAAATATCCCTGGAATGGAAAAAAGTATATTTTAATAGCTTTTTGTTTGTGACTGATGTCAGTAATGTGAAAATAAGAAGTAATAATATCATAATGTTATCGTAAAAAAGGTTTCAAATTGTCAGCGTGACCAATGTAGGGCTCTATGTAAAAGTGCCAGCATTGTCATTAATCGCTTCATTGTGACAAGTAACAGGACCTCTGGGAACTACACCAAGATGGTTGCCACAGTCAATGTCATACCTTGCATGAGTTTGTCATAGTCACCAGCCCCTTGTGCCAGCTGCAGCACATTGTAGAAGCGTGCTGTCACTGACGTCGGGTTGCTGGCGTCAAGACCGAGGGTACCGTCTGCTGCGCTGGCAATCGTAGCCTTGCCTGCTGCGACGTCGTGGGGGTTGGCATACTGCTTCCTGATAGAACAGTGGGGGGGGGAGAAAATTCATCTTCATCTTCGTCGATAGTGGTCAACAACCATCCTAATAGATATGTCACACTAACCCTGATGAGCAAACTTTGGAAAACAATGTTCTTCCTCCAGTGATATGGGGGGGGGGTGGTTTTAAGTACTCAGAGCCTACAGACAAAAGCTAACACATGTTTCAAATTAGCATGCACTAACTTGCACATTTGAAAAAAAAAGCTTGGGGAGAAAAAAACAGATGTTCTTCACGTATTTCACTCGAATAATTTCTATTCAATACTACGCATAGAATTTCTGGAAATTCTATAAATAATTCAGATTAAGTGACTGCCATGGTGAGACTACACTAACCTCTTTGGCTGCGGTAGCTTGAATATGTCCTGCCATATAGCAAAGAAGCCTTTATGTCGGTCTTTTTGGCCGATGCTCAACGAGTGGACAAGGGCTAGGCTAAGTACTCTGCCCTGGCTGTGGATAAACTGCGGCAAGACAAAAATGATAACTCTCAAATAATACTAACTCTCTTTACACAATCTGCAATTGGACAGCTGAGATTAATAAAATGCGGTAGGTTAAAAAATTACGGCTGTTTTAGACTGCAAATGACCCTTCACTACATTTTGTGACATTTGATTATATTATTGATTTGAGCCCCTTCACGGTGGGATTATTTTGACCG